TTTTTTTTTTTTTTTTTTTTTTTTTTTTTTTTTTTTTTTTTTTTTTTTTTACTTATACGTATAAGAGTATGTTTGTTGTGTATGTGTGTTTACATGTTTCAATCATCGTGTATATTTAATAAAAAACGCACGAGTCGCATCGATGCGTTTTTTTTTTTTAATGATTAAAATGTATACTTGTGTTTTCGGGGAAAGGGACGGGGGATGTATATGTACATTACAGGCACACACGCGCGTAAGCGCAATACGCGTTGCATCGCGCATAAACACACCCACGCGCGAGCGTGCCATTTTAGTGTAAAATCGTCAGTCAGTCTAGCGTCACGTCTTATTATTTTTATATTCACCGATAGTCATCCTTTTATTAAAAATCACGCGTCCACGCGCGACGCTTCGCGTTTGTCCTGCTCGGCTTCGGCTATTATATACTTAAATATTATTAATTCCCAAGCGCCCGTACATCATTATCGTGTCCATTCTCATTACCGAATAAACATCCATTGGCGGGCGCTCGTTTCAATTTTTTTGTACCGATAATACACGAAAACGTCGCGCGTCGCGTTATTTTATTTTATTTTTTTCTCCTTCTTCCTCCGTTTTATCATACACGCTTATCATTGTAATATTTATATGTATGTATAAACAACTCGCGATTTTTGCTCCCACGAATTGGGAAAAAAATCCGGGGGAACCCTACAATGTGTGTCCTCTATACAATTTATATCATCGCTATCGTTCAGCTGTAACACACAATAACGTGTATTATGCACACCCAACGAGCTGATAATATGATTAAGCTTAAAGAGTTTAGCATCGAGTTTGTGCTGAGCCTCCCACGGGGTACGGGGGGAGTCCCCCCTGATCCCGCGACCATCACCATTAGCTACCGGGTTTTTTCTCACCAGTGGAAAGCCTCGAGAGAGGCCTTTTCGCAACTGGTGGAACATAAGCGGTGCAGCAACGCGTGCTTGTGGCTCTAGTGTTAATTATTATGGCACGTTTGCATGGGCTGTACACAGGCCGATGGGAATACCCACCGACCTGTCCGCCCCACAACGGGTTACATTAATTTTTTTTTTCATTCCTATATTTTTCACGCGTACACATCGAATTCAGGGACAGCGTCGTGTCGGCTGCCGAGTGACCCGGAGATCGCTCACCGATTTCCGAGTTACTCCGACAGCAGGCACCTTCGGATCTCGCGCGCGACTTTGCCTCCGTAATCGTTATCCTTATGTGTACTTTTTTCTTTTCTTTGTTTTTTTTTTTTTTACATATGTATACTCTATATATATTTAATCGCACGTCGTAACAGCATATTGTACAATATTCATACGTATACACGTGTCCGCGTCCGCGCGCTCAATCTTCCGTGTGCGGACGATGTGGCTGTTACCGTTGGTACGGAATCGACGTTGCCTTTCGTGAAAAATACCCGAGCTGAGCGTAATGAACCCCAGCTCGGACGGTATAATGTTCATCTTGATGCTTGTTACAACATATGGTCATAACAGCAGTGGTTGTGGTATATTGAGGGAATTTTGTTTTGTTATGTTCGTACTAGCTGAGACAATGAGTGATTTAGAATTGACCTCTCACTTGGACGCTTCCGCCGAGGGCGGCGTCGAGGAGCTCGGTAGGGCACCTACGCGTTCTCGACGACGTTACCGCTCATCTCGTCGGCCTTCCTCTTGACGCCGCGCTGCTGCTCGTCGTGGCCGATCTGCGGAATCGTCAGCTTCACGCCCCCCTGCTGCTGTTGTTGCTCGTTACTCAATGTAATCTGCTGGTGCAACTGCTGTAGCATTTGTTGCTGCTGTTGCTGCAATTGTTGTTGTTGTTGCTGCTGTTGCTGCTGCTGCTGCAGAGTGTCCATCGAGTTGACGGTAGAGGAGGCGGTCGCCGCGTTGGTGTTGTCCTGCGCCCAGGAGGTCCACTCGTCTCAGTAGTAACCAAATTTTCATGGTTGCTGGTTGTTCTGCTGGTTGACCACGTGCTGGAGAGTGAAGCTCAGGGCCCGGGGATCGCTGTGGAGCCTGAGGGCGTGCTCCAGTCTCTGCTCGGTGCTCAGTTGTTGAAGGCGCAGGGCTTCTTAGCATAAGAAACAACAACAAAAGCATCAGTTGTGCCGTGCTATTTTGGGTTGTCCCGCCGTTCGCGAGCAGTGACTTTTTTTTTTTTTTCAATTCCAAACGCGCTCACCTATGTCGGGGGAGAGCTGGTCCTGCTGGGACAGCTGCTGGTTGGTGTGGTGTCCGGGTATGCCGGTCGCCCCGCCGCCATTGTGCTGGCCCAGGTGATGTCGCATGTCGTTCGCCGAGCTCGCCGCTGCCGCAGCTGCCTGGGATACCTGTTCATACGCACAAATTGTGTCCATTACTGTACCCACAAATCAATTCTGGTTCTTATCTCCCGATCGATCGACAACCACGTATACCCGGACCGTGAACATCGATAAACAATGGCGAGACCCCTGTTATTCAAAAGCAAAACGCGAACGACGAAGCATCGATGAATCATTTCTTCTACATGGGTACGTGCTATCTTCCCAGGACATCGCGACATTGAAAATACACGAGCAGGTGTTGGAGGTATGGGGAAGGGGAGAAGGGCCCCACCAAACCACGGAGGTTAATCGAGTCTTTTGCGTTTACGGCGACGAAGGTGCGAAATTAATTAACACCCGGCAAAAATGTCCCCACGGCCCGTAAGACCCTCCGCCGCTTGAGCCCTAATTAGAGGCTGCGTAGCAAGAGAGCGCCCCTGGGTAAGCGAGGGGGAGGGGCGGGAGAAAAGTGAAGAGGAGCTACATAGTGGTATGGGGGGGTTTCAGAGAGGGAGGGTATATGTTTATATTTACCGCGAGCCTGATGGCGTGCTCCGCTTGGGAGCGCAGCAGAGCCTCGGCCTGAGAGCGCAGGAGGGTGTCCGTGCCCGAGGATTGGACGCCCTGCTGCTGGCCCGGGCCGCCCGTCGAGCCCTGTCCCGTGCCGCTCATGTCCCCGTTGTTGCCCATCCTCATCGCCGCTGCCAGGGACGCGACGTCGGCTGGTGACAGGTTGGGCGACACCGAGTTTTGCAGCCCTGAAAATTCATTTTTATTCCTCGTTACGCCTTGTCTTTCCAATTACCGCTGTTTTTGACAAAAGAAGCATTTGTTTTTGGGGAAAAATATATCGAGACATATAAATTGTTGCATCCACGAAATCTTGAAACTTTGGCGAAACCCTTTCCATGTATATTTCAACAAAAGATGAAAGCACATTTATTTGCTCTTTCTCCGCTGGTAAGAACTGACAAAGAGAGAGAGAGAGAGAAGAAAAGACTGTTGGGTCATGCACACTCGAGGTACCGCGATAAATATTAACGCGCGTGTATAAATAAGTGCGTGAAACGCAATTGTAAATCATCGATTGGCCGATACCGCGCGTGCGAGTAATTGGAACGGCGCGATCTTTCTGTACCCCTCGAGCATCGGAGCTTTCTCTCCTTGGGTGATGATACGTATACACATCTCGACCACTTATCTCTTCTCTCTCTCACGAAGAGTACCTATATTATAATGTACTTATCGCTGCGTAATAACGCCACGACGCCTTTTTTTTGTTCCTTCGATAAGTAGCGACTGACCGATATTTTTCCTCAATCTTTGTACGGCTGTACAGTCCTCTTTTCGTGCATCTTCCGCGAAACAAAAACAATGCCTTACCTGCTGAAACGGCGGCTGCCATGACGGCCATTCGCTGCTGTTGCGTCTGCATCTCGTCGTGGTACTGCTGGGCGGTCGTCTGTTGGTTACCGGCCCTGAGCATCTCGCTGAGCTTGTTGCCGCTCGGCCCCGGCGAGGCCATGTTGTTGTTGTTGTTATTGTTGTTGTTGTTGTTCAACAAACCGGCGCCTGCGTAAAAATCTGCTCTCGTCAGTACAAGTAAACGTGAGTGACTCGGCTTTCACCGTATCCCGACTCTTATGTGGGGTATTTTTTATAATATGCATAATAATAAAAATAACTAAAGTATACACCACAATACGATGAATAAAAACATCCGTACCAGGTTCGCTGCCGGCCGACGATAATCGGCCGTTGCCGCTGCTGCTGTCGGAGTGGGCTGACGGCGACGGGCACATGGGTGGCTGCTGCAGGTTCTGGGGCCCTCCCATCTGGCTCCCGAGGACGCCCAATCCGGTCCCCGAACACGAGAGGTAACGTTCTGCCCGGCGCGTCAACGTTAACATTAGATCGTTGCAAATTTTTTTTTTTTTTTTTTTTTTGTTTTTTTGTTTTTTGTTCATCGTTCCCCTCCCTTTGCGTTTCTAGCTATTGTTGTTAATAAAACTTACCCAGACTCGTACCTGCGAGGAGCTCGCGTTCCCGCCTCTCCGCGGCGGCCCGGCTCAGGACGTACTGTGCCGCGAACTGGTGCTTCGGGTCCATCCTCATGTGCTCCATGTGCGTGAGTAGGCCTGTACAATGTCGACCCATCGTTACAATGATTTACTCAATGGAAAAAAAAAACGGTATGTTGGACACTCACCACTTTCGTTCGTAAAAACGGATTGGCAAACGGAGCACGGCCACATCCTCAGGCTCGTGCTGAGCTGGCTGGTCTCCGGGTGGCAGGCGAGGTGTTTCCTGAGACTGCCCTCGTTGACGTAGTGCTTGCCACAGACGGGGCACGGGTGGTTTGCGGTGCGACGCTTTGCTAAGTAAACCCCGGCAACGGAGGTCGTGCAGTCAGCAGTGGGAACAATAGGGCGACACATAGGTCGAGGTCAATGCCAAGCAGGTTAAAGCGTACGTACCCCCGTAGAATATATATCATCTCTCCACCACCACCACCACCACCATATTACCCCCAAAAATGTATTTATAGACACCAGAGCGAGCAAGCGCGTCAAATCATCATGTCTCATTTGACAGTATATAATATAGCCAAGGCGTTGTGATTTTGATTCGCTGCCAACTCGCGCGTGCTCGCGTCCTTGTGTATCTCACATGTCTCTCCCACGCATTCGACACTCGTCGATCAAACGCATACATACTCGCGAACTCCTGTGTTTTTTGTGACTTTGCTCATTTATTTCCTATTTTTTAATCGAAATTTGTATAGTTTTTTTTTTTTTACTATTCCCCTCGTAAAAGATTACACACGCATAAATAATCAGTGGTATTTTCAGCGCGAAACAAATGCTTCCAGGAATAAGAACAGCACCGCTCGTGCTTCGGTTTCTTTACTTATTTATAGTCCCAATGTAATTCTTTAAGCGCAACCACGGATAATCCAGAGCTCGTGATTGCATGATTTTTGCTCTCTATATTTTTATATATATATCATGTCCACGACGGCCAAGTGCCCGTAACGCTGTAATCGCCGTATTTAAAAAGTCACTCGATTAGACCGACTTGCCGATCGCGAGAATGTATTATTGGAAAAGTGAAAAGTTAGGTTTTTGATCAAATTTTCGGATTTTTAACTCCATCTCGCTTCAAAGTGTCAAAAGTAGCACAGTAGTTCTTCTTCATCACTCACACTAACACACACATACAGTTTGTATACACCTTCTTCCACCGTAGTTATACATTAGATTTCGATCAAATTTCAGGCAACGTGAACGATGTGTTAGTAAGTTTTGACCCGTTAGTCGAGGAGTCCGTATGTATAGGCATGACAGTGGGTGCAATGAAAAATCTCGAGAAAAGAGACCAAAAGATACAAGTAGACGAGCACGAGAAGTGAAGTAGATACATGCATGCCGATAGATGTGTTTTTGCCCGCGCCAAAAGCGATTTTGGGACTCACAGTGTACTAATATATCTAAGATCTTATCGATAATACGCGATAGGTCATCCCGTTAACCGCACGGGCCGCGCCACTTTCTCTAGCTTCTCGTGTGTATGTGTGCACATAATATACACCCAAAAATTACCGCAACCTTGTTAAGATGGCAGAATTGTGTTACCCCAATGAGAGCAGTCGATGGGAAGACGTGTAGAGCGCGAGAGACTTATATATTTTGGGTTTGAAGATTCATGCATTATCAAGTATGGTTTTTTTTATTCATCATAAAATTCGAAGATACCCAAAATATAGCAGATAGATGCGATCGCGATACGAAGCTGTATATGATGAACGAAGCTTGAGAAAGTAGCTATTAAACTTTCATACAATAACCATCGGATCGGTGGTAAAGTTATACATGTACATAATATCGGTGATAAAATATGGACCTTCCCGTGTCCAAAGAGTTGCAAAGAGGAGTCGTAACGAGGATCCAAAGGGTGCAAGGATCGTCGTCCGGCAGCTCGATCTTTCCGAGACGTGCCTCTCGGGCTGGCATACTTACTGGCTACGCCCGACGCGTTGGGGTCCTTGTGCGTGACCTTCATGTGCTCCATGAGGGCCTCGCCGCCCAGACAGAGCTTGTGGCACACCGGACAGCTGGTGGCACTCGGGCCGCCGATGAGTGAGTTGTGTTGCTGGAACACGACACGCTGTTGCAGCTCCTTTTTTGCCGGTTTTGGTTTTTTTAGTAGAAGACAGTAGCGGTAGCAGTAGCAGTAGCAGACAGAGACAAGAGACGGGACAGTGGACGCGCCGTTTTTTTTTCACCACCACCAATGATTACCATCACCATGGGTTATTGTTAAGGATGAGAGGTTCGCGTGGACGGCAGAGTAGTAGAAGATGATCCGCAGTTTGGTTTTGCCGATTGGACGGAGAAGCGCAAGCGATGACGGCACACGGGATTGTTGCGTTGCCGGGCGCCGGGCGACAGCACATAACACAAGTACACGACATACCAGGGTCAGACCTTTTGTGTATACGAGCATCCTCGGAGTACGCCACCTATTGGCGCTACGCCTTGCACATATGGGGGAGGGCAAGGTGTGGTCTGATTTGGAGGTCATGGGTTTCGGAGGGACATTTTGGGACGTTTGGGTGAGGCCATTATAGATTTTCGCGCTGCGAGAAAAATTGACGATCTTGTTTGTCTAGTACAGACTACAAGACATTTCGAGCTTGGCAAATTTTATAACAAAAAAGCAAACAGAGGTTGAATGCGTATGTGGTATGTAACCAATGAGATAAAACATAATAATGACCAAAGAGACGTAATGGGCGGATATGATTGAGATTTCGGGATAGAAGTAGAATGCCAAGATTGAGGTGAACGAAAACTCAGAGTCACTATATGATGGTCAATATGTGCAATATTCGAATGAGACAAAGATTATGGGGATGTGATGGAAAATTATTATGTGCAAAGCATAGAACCAATGATTGGCTGTTGTTTACTTTTTTTCTTTTTTTACCTTATTTAATTATATTGGTATTAACATGTAAAATAATACACAAAATCAGACGTCCTTTTGATAACAACGTGTTTTCTGTTTTTTTTTAAATTTTCTTCTAGTACTACTTAATATTTTGTTGTTAGTGGTGCAGTGTGTTGTGTTGAAAAACAAAAACAAAAAACATAGCGAAAAAAACAAACCAAGGAAAAGATAAGAAATGCGACAGTACTGACATTGAAAAGAACACTACGGGCATGTTGGCTCGCGATCCGTAAAAAGTACGCGTGTTTCCTCTCTTATCGCCTATGTGAATTGTATACGTGTATACTGTACGAGTACGCACAGAGACAGAGAGAGCTTCTTTCTCCCTTTTTTTTATTCCCCCCCCCCTCGTTTGCATTGTCGAAGGACACGCGAGTCGTGGCACGCCCGGGGTGTCCTTGTGATTTATCGAGATCTTTTTTATTTCCCATTTGTTTTAAAACTCGATTAACGCGAGCCTCCGAAAGTATTAATCGAAAAACGCAGCTAAACTGGCCTACCCCAACGCGCGAATTCCACTACTCGGTCTTCCCTAAAAATAAGCTTGCGAGCGAGGGGGCTAAAATAAGAATCGGCGGCAACGACCCGAAAGTCTGGCAGTGTCCTTTGATGTTTTCCAACCTTCGAATTGCCCCCTCCCCCACTTTTTTTTTTTGTTCAATTCTCCGTGGATAAGCAAAGTTGCAAGCGCGAGGAGAAAGGCAGCGAGCGAGTGGCCTCAGTTTTTCTCCCGCACACGCGCTCGCCCCCTCCTCCTCCTCTGACTTTTTTTTTCCCCGGACCTAGGGCAAGCCGGCGCGGAAAGAAGAAGTAGGAGGAGGGAGAAAGAAGAGCATCAGCAGCAAGTTATTCTCGGAGAGAAGTTGGTCTCCCTCGTTCTCTTACACGCTTCCAGGCTTGTACGTGCATGCACGCTCCTCCGACGAGGTCCAAGGCACGAGAGGAAGGTTCGACGCCCCGACCTGGCCCAAGTGGAAAAAACCGGTTTCTTCCTGCGAGAGCACCGAGAGAGCGCGGGCGCACTCTTTATTCCTCGATTTTTCAGCCTTTTCTTTTTCCCCCGCGCCTCCACCTCCTCCGTTCGCTCGCGCACTACTCCCCGGCAGCAGCATCCTCACGGGACTCTTTTTGCAGCTCTCCTCTCCTGGTCCTCCCTCCCCCCCCCCTGTATATCCTTTAAGGATGCGTGCCTTTCTCTCCCCGGGAGAAACGCGTGGGCGAGGATGCATGCAAGCGCGCAGAAAAAGAGAGAGAGCGGCAAATTCATCTCGCGTGTGCGTTTCTCCTCTCTAGCTATATGGCCCTTTTATTTTACCTCTCGCTCGGTTTTTCAAGCCGCCTCACCGCCCTCGGGGACCCTGTTTTGTATACGCGTCTTCGACTTTATTCCCCGCGTCCTTTCTTTCCTGTACGCAACACGCCAGAGTCGAAGCTCTCCATTTTTCCCGTCCCTCTCGGACTGGCCTCAGAGTTAATAAATTTCCTTACCTCCCCGTTTATTTTTCTAAACGACTCGTTTGGTGGTGCATACGCAATGAGAAATTCCACACGGTCGCGCCAGCTCGGGTGTCCCACAAAAAGAAACGCGCCACGGCAGTGATGTCCGACGTACTTTATGCTGGCGCGTGGAGCGCAAAAAAAAAGAAAAAAAGTAAAAGTCAAACTAGTGCCCGTGTATGAAAACCACAGCGTGCAGTCGCATGTAGAGAGAGAGAGAGAGAGAGAGAACAACGGCAACTGTACATACGCAGCGGCTTATCAAAACACTGGATCATCTCGTGCAACAACAGCAGCTAGGAGGGATTTCTCGGAGAGACTAAACATCCCCGGCACGAATTGAGCCTCGCGGAAAAGCTCTTCCTCCCTTTTCTTTCGAGCTCCCTTTTCTCCGATTCTATATTTACGATTCCTTACTTCCTGCTGCGCGCCAAAGCTCCAACTGATTTAGAACGGCGAGCGGCTCGCTTTCTTGAGTACATTATTTATCGTCATTAGGTGACCCCCCCCCCCATCGCCTCTCGCTCCGTTCGATCTTTCCGCGTCGAATAATCGGACCAGTACGCGCTTATCGAGTTGGTTTATTGCTGGAAGCTCTAGGATATCCTTGGACAGGAGAGAAAAAAAGAAAGGGTTTAAACGAACCCGGCGCGTGCAAAAACAACGAGGGGAGGGAGAAAAAACAACAGCAACAACAGAGCGCAATAATGTGTATATAGTTAATTGAGTATAATATGTATGTGCTAGTGAGCGTTACAGATGGCCCGAAAAGTTAATCGGCGGCCCGCGATCGCGTGACCGGGGACTCACGCACGCGTGTGTTATGGGAACAAACGTAACGAGCAAAACGGGGTTTAGCGAAATGGAAAAAAAAAAAAAGACGGATAAAAAAAAAATCCCGTGCACGCAGGCTCTCTCTAGCGTGGATCCTAGAGCGAAAGAGGAGGTGGAGGTAGTCGCTGCATCAGGGAGTGGCGTAAAAAGGAAGTGGGTGTGAGCAGACGCGTAGCGGTGCGTGACGCGCTTGTTTATAGGTACCACGGGTGCTTACTCGCTCGCTTGCTTGCTCACTTACTTGTCCTGTATATTTTGTAATGCATATACTTGTATACGTATATGCTATAGCTGCTCGTCCCTGTGTGGCCATTTTGCTATACCCGAGCTGAGCAAGAAGGTAAATTGCCTCTTTTAATGGCGTGGCTATAATGAGCAGAGTTTAATCCGACCGATTGATTTTACGCTACTTTTTTACATCACCGAAAAGGCCATAGAGGAATTTCATTGTCCTAACGAAAGAGGTATAATGTACATATGAACATTCACGTAAGAGTCGAAACGTTTTGCGAAAGACATAAGTGCGAGCTGTGTGTATACGACACGAACAAGGGAAACGACTATTGAAGCGCGCGAGAGTTCTAGGACACCGAGTAATAGAAAACCTTTGTACGGAGTACATTATAGGTAACCAAGTGTATATCTATTTGGCACGCGTTGACATGCACGTACGTAATAATGCTCCTTTTTTTTTTTTTTTTTATCTGTACAGTAGCTTTTGGTCAAAAATGCATTCCACCTCCTGTTTGAAACATGGTAAAGCACGTCAAGGCCGTACGTAATAATGTTTTTTTTTTTTTTTTTTGCGCCCACATGTACCTATTCCGTGAGGTACTCTTTCTCCGCGTCTCATAAATGAAAGAAGCTCTCTTATGTACGAGTTACATGCATTACGTATAGAGTTCGATCCCGTTTCGAGGATTCGTATGTATACATACACGACGCGCGTATGTAGAGATTGCACGTGTGTATATATACATTAAACGAGAGATAGAAAGAGCAAAGAGGGAACGTATAACGGTTTGGTACTACTAGTTGCTTGTGCTCGCGCGGGAAAGAGCCGGGAATAGGAGAGGAGGCGGAGGAGGTGGGGGTGGAGAGAGAGAGAGAAGAAGTTAATGGTTCGATAAGCGATTTTTTCGCGATTATAATTAACTCGGCGTGCCTTGTTTTTCTCCACCAGCGCGCAGTGTGTGTGTGTTCATTTTATTTTCCTCGCTTCTCCCTCTTGGTTTCTTTTTTGGCTGCTGCTGTAGGGCCTGCGTACATGTACGTATAGCGGTCGCCCCCCTTTGCCGATCTTGTCGGCGCGGAGTGAAAATAGATTGTTGCAATTAGCTCGCTCGCCGCACGAGATTCGAGGATGGGGCCTCTCTTGGTTTTTTTTTTTTTTTTTTTTTTTTTCATCGTTCGTTTGCTTTTTCGATTTCAATTTTAGATTATTGTCCGATGAATGAACAAGGCTCTCTCTCATTATTTTTTTTTTTTTTTTTTTTTTCATCAACAAATAATTTATCGACTCTTTAGGTAGTTCAACATTTGCATGATCGTTTTAAGCCTTCCAGTGGATCGATTTCCAATAGAGTTCGTCACAATTCTCAATAATTTTTTCGTAAAAATCAACCCCTACGATTGGGAAATTTTTCGATCAGCCGAACCTTCCTGCCGTGGTTTTTCAACGAGAGCTCCTTCGCTGCTTCGAGAAACGAAAAAAAAAAATAATAATAATAAAATAAAAGAGAGAGCCGGAAGCCGAAGGGCAGCGAGAAAAAAAGACTGCGCGCTGAAGGAGATCTCCCTCGCTGGCCTCTTCTTTCAAACGTATACATCAAGGCAGGGAGAGAGAGGCCCCCGTCGCGCCGATAAGTCCGAAGGATTTTTCTCCCCGTCGGTCCCTCTATTTTTTCCGCGCCGGCCTCCCGCTTTTTTTGCTCGTTTGCGCGGCCCCGCGAGCTGCAGACGCAGGGTAACCTTCACCACCACTGCCGCTCCTCCACCTCTTTCTCTCTCTCTCTCTCTCTCTCGTTCCATATACGAGATATACAGACTCTCCGGTGCATCAGAAGGAGCTCCTTTTTTTCACGAGACGTGGAGTGGATACTCCAGGAACGGCGAATCCTTTTGTCATTACTGACACTCGCCTTGTTTTACGAGCTTGCTGCCGGCTATACCCCCCTCCTTTTCTTTACCCGCGTTACAGTGTTTTTTGCCACGATCGTCCCGGCTTCTCGTGATTGACAGTAAGAGCCTGCAGTCGTTACGCTTCAGTTTGTTACGTCTTTAAAGTACGCTCTGCTCGACTTTTTTCTTCCCCCAACCCCCATGCTTGGGAGATTTATTTTCTTCCGCTTGCTATGTGTTGTTGTCGCATATATTTTTTCTTCTAATTGATTCGTGCGACGATTTTTTCGTCACGGTAGGTACCTCGAGCTCGTCGGGAAATCTTTTGCCGGTTCCTATACGTGGCCCTGATGAGGTTTGAGAAAGAAAGGGAAACAAAAAAAAAAACAGCCCCTCCGAGAACGTTAATTATTCCGAGTCAGCCGGCGTGATGACATTGGCAAGTTCATTCGTTAAAATGTCACGCTGACACCGTCAATTACGAAATGACTCAATTTGTCGTCGCGTACATGTTATACATATATAGGTGTGCGACGTGATGCGCGTACCGAGTGGAAACAAAAAAAAACCCGCCCGACGACACAAGACCCGTTCGCACGATCCCGCGAATTTTTTGTCCACCTCCCCGTGAACGTGTACCTACGCGCTTGTATACCTACTTGCGTTTTTTGCCCCCCCCCCCTCCCCGTCGACCAATAATAATTTCATTGAGTCCGCATTGTGCGCGATTCAACCCCTTTGACGCTCTCTCCGTGTCCGTCGTTATTAACGCGACGACGAACTTCCGCAGTGACTCGACTAATCCCTTGCATCGTCGATTAATGAACACCGAGTTTCGCCCCCGATGTGTGTGTACACACGGGCGCAAAAAAAAAAACCAGCCCCCCGGATGTGTATCATGCCCGTTGCGGGGGGGGGAAAAAAGGGAGCTTGCGAGGGACGTATGGCAAAAAATTTGCCATGACACCGCGCGACGCTTCGAAATAATCGCCGATAGGTGCGTGCACGGCTGGCGAAAAAAAGGTGGAGCGGAGAGTTTACAATGGGGGGGAAAGGTAACTGGGGTGTGAGTCGGGGACTGGTACGCGTTGTAGGGGAAGGGCGACGGAGAGTGGCAGAGTAGCGAAAAAAAAGCCGAGGGCGGAGTCGAGGGTAAAAAAAAAAAAAAAAAAAGCCGGAGTGTGGTACTTTGCTTGTGAATTGAATCGTCCCCCCCCATAACGCGTACAGGGACTTTTTTTTTTTTCAGTTCGCTGTTGTTTACCGTGACGACTTTACGAGGGTGTCATGGGAACCTTTTGTCTCTCAATTCTTTCGGACCGGAGCTCCAATTTTAGATCCGCAGCTTTTAATTTAATATCAATAATACGCTCGCGTGTACGTATATGAATTTTAATCGCGGCTGTGATTTTTGTTTCCTCGTCTCTGCAACACGAGTCGTAGCTTGATCGATTTATTGGAAGTGTAAATATTTATTAAATTCCGCGGCAGTCGCGCGCACGCCATGTTTTTTTCCACGAGAACCAAAAAGAGAAAAACAAAAAAAAAACAAAAAAAAGATTGGATTCTTGATTAATCGAAGTCTCGCGAGCAGAAACAAACTCACCCGCGGAGCTATTAATTAGCCGAGCTAACGTGAAATTTCGACCGACCGCGCATTCGAGCGGGCCCGCGGTGCTTTGTAGGATGGAGCGAAGCGGTGGAGGGTAAAATGCACAAAAAAACACACACACAAGAGATAGGGAGAGAATGAGTTTTCTTGGAGACGCGAATGTAATCGCATCGGATGCAGCCGGAGGGGAGAAAGGGCAGCGACGCCGGTAGTTCTCATTATAAATACTCCGGCACGGGCGAGTGCTATTAGCGCGTGCGATATTCCCTCGCGTGATGCAGGCAAGAAGTTTATGGAGATGGTGGAGGAGCAGGAAAAAAGCGGAGAAACTATCTTTCTGGCGCTGCAGGAGTGGGCTGAGATTTAGATACACGCGCTAGGACGAATGAAGGAGAGAAGCGGCGTAATGAACGCGGAAAGAGTCTTTTTCTCTCTCTCTCTCTCGTGTAAAAATTACCGTTGAACTTATGATGAAATTCATGCACGCGGTTGTCAGAAATATCTTCACGTGGCTCGTACTGGCGATCAAGAGTGGAACGAAGGAAAAAAAAAAAAAGAGTTAAAGTCTTTTCGATTAGTCGAGGTGAAAAATATACTCTTGACTGCGCGCGAGTTGCAATTTATCCGTGCTAAACGAAACGTCCCGACCGCGAAAGGCCGTCCCACTTATCTATTTTAAAATGCGGCGCGAAAAGGGAAAGACAAAGAGCCCAGAGAAAAGGGGAGCAGGGAAGGAGAGAGAGAGAGTCTCCTCTTCTGGAGTTAAGCCAGCCGTCGATGTTTGCAGCCGCTCGCACACGAGAGAATTTGCTCTCTTATATACTTAGGTAAGAGGTGTACCTACTCGGGTAGGCTAATTGGGAGAAACGGTTAATGGGCTGGCGCGAGCCCGATTGATTCGGCTCTCTTTCTTGCGTTGTTCCCGATTAAGCTGGTGCGATTTTTTTATTTATTTTTTTTCTACTTGGATTGTGGTGATGATGCGACATGATAACAATGATGGTTGCGGGAAAGAGGCGATATTAGATGTTTAAGGAGGATGACATACAGGTTAGATTAAAACAAGCTCGTCGAGGTAAACAAATGCAAACGAGGATTTTTCAACAAGATATTAGATGGAGAAAATAAAAAAAAAATTCATGGGTTGCAAAAAAGTAAATAAACATTGTGAAAACAAAACATAAACGAAAAGTAAGAAAAAAATAAAAATAAAAATTTGTTTTAGTTTATGATTAAAGTATTATATAACTCACCCGAATGTCAACTTGATTCGGCAGTAATTGTGACGGAAGTAGCATTTGGCAATGATTCTAAACAAAATCAGAAACACACTCTTCTGAAGTTTAAAAAAAAAACAATCGACGACATTATTGTTTTTTTTTTTTTTTTGGAGTAAAAAAATTTTTTAGATTTTTTTCTTCCATTATTTTATGATGTATGCAAAATCCGATAACGTCCAAATGATTTAAAATATCATCAAGTAAATGAAAAATCAAAGATTGTGTATTATGCATATACATGTGTTTCTTGGAGGGAAAAAAAAGAAAAAAAAAAAAAAAAAACCAAAACATATACATAAATGGTTCGTTTGGTATAAAATAAAGACATATATCGTGTGGATGGAATTTTCGCACTTTAATTTAATAACCTCGAGAATGTGATATCGATAACTCGATGAAGCTCGTCTGATCGCATAAAGAAGCCACTGCGTATCCAACGAATCGGCAAATATTTAATTTAGAGAAGGTCCCTATTCAGTAGACTGCAAAGCATACGCGCGTGTCAAAAGAATCTAAAAACAAAAACAATAAAAAAAACAACAAAGTGCTGGCTATCAACTTTTTCATCACCAAGCTAGAGGCAATTTTCTCAAACATCATCGTGCGTAATTGAAGATACAGAATACTGCATTCCTATCCCCTTGGAGATAAAAAGGAAAAAAAAAAATGAACAACCAAATAAGATAAAACACGGGTGTATATATCGACGCAAACTCATGAATCATGAAAAAATCGTAGTAAGTATAATAACAGTTATGGGGGGACACATGGATCGGGTCTTTGGCCTTTTTCTTCCTCCCCTCACCCCCTGGCCCTCGTTCCACATTTCACAGACACGCAAACCGTACGCACAGACGGTCGCGACATTACGTACAATCAAGACACCCCGAATGGCCCATCATCGGGTGATTAAGTTTTTCATATTTAGCCGCGAAACCAGCCATCAGCCGGCTACGCGTACAGCCTGAGAAAATAAATCCGAGGCACGGGCAGGGGGTTAACGAGTTTTTACGGGGCGCGCAGGCGCCTCCGAGGGCAATTAAGGGGTCAGAAGCAGCGGCAGCCACCGAGAATGGGAGAAAGGGTTGCCGAAGAAACAGAGAGAAAAGGGGGGGGGGGCTGTATCACGACACCCGAACTATTAGCCCTCGGTTAAGTGTGTATACACGAGAAAAGTTTCCCAAGCGACGGAAAATTTGCTAGACGACGACGATGATTTCTCTCTTCTGTTTACCTTCTTTCGTCCCAGTGCAGGGGATGGGCTATCGCGATGATGTATACTCTTTTCATTTCTCATTACGGAGCATCCAATTATGCGTTTAATTTAAAAAAAAAGGAAAAAAAAAGTCCTCTGCTGGCCACAAAAGTGAAAAATAGTTTAAAAAAAAGATCCGCAGTCTTTCGCCTGGTATAAATTGGTATGATAGCGCGGCGAAAATAAATAAAGCACGTAGAGAGAGAGAGAGAGAGAGAGAGAGATGCTATCGGGGCGATTCTTTAGCTCGGAATTCCAGCGTATTTTTCTCCCCCCGGCCAAGAGAGTGGGTATACACGGCCAAAGAAAGAAAAGGGGGAGGAGGAGGAGCGCGCACACATAGACACACGGGCCCGCGCGGCGGTACAAAACAAGCGTGCGCTAAATTAGGTTATTCCCTTTTATCTCCCGGAATACCGTTCCATCGGAAAAGAGGAGGAGGATGCGGAAGGACGCAATTCGGGTGGCGCGCGCGCGTGTACCTATATACTTATACGTACGTGTCCAGAAAATAGGCGAAATAAAGTAAAAAGGGAAGAGGATCCGAAACAAAGGAAAGTAAGTACGAGAAAGAGGGGGTAGTGGGGGGGAAAGAGGATAGGAGCGAGAAACAAGGGCAGTAAGTGGCCGTGGTCTATTACGACGGAGGCCCGCGCGCGCGTGTGCGTTATGTGTATCTCTCCCGCTGATGGTCTACATATCGCGCTCCCGCATCCGAAGGCGCCGTTTCTATTATAATATTCGATTTCCCCAGGCGCTCTCTTTTTGTACGTATACCAGGGACGCCGTGTATTGCCTTTCTATGTTATACCTGTACGGCCACCGAGTTGGGCGCAAGAAAGATAATGTTTCGCCGACACGCTATATGGCCCGAGCGCGCGGGGGGTGGTTTGAGGGACGGCGCGAGAGCTATTTCTTTTTATTTCTCCAAAGAGCCGTGCGTATAACTACTTATTGTTGCCTATTTTAATCGCACGAAATGTACAAAACGCTCGGGAGGCACGGGTAGGATAAAAATTAATGAAAAAAAAAAAAAAAAAAAAAAAAAAAAAAAAAAAAAAAAAAAAAAAAAAAAAAAANCACATAACAAGTAGTAATACGCTATGTACTTGCAAGAGTGCATGTGTATATCTTGATCGATGCTCGTGCAGTATAATATATATAATACACACATGTAGAAATTTTGCGGCGAAAAGAGGATTTATGTATATATAAAGTATAGTACGCTCGACGACGCGGGCGGAGGTGCAATAACCACCGCGTCGTCGGGCATGTTTGGAAGCCATCGTGAGTTGAAGGGTCTTGGATCGGCTTTTAGATCGTGGCTGTACCTCTTCTGTACACGTTGCCATGGTCCGGGTGACACGGATTCTTGGGAACCCTCGGGATGGCGGCGAGCTTGTCCTCGGCCCTTTTGTCCGAGCTATCGCAAGTTTGCCCGAGTTTTGTGCCTGGTGCTGTTGGGCCTATTACTTTGGGGCATCGTGTACTCCATCATGGGCTCTGATGCAGCTCCCGGTGGGCCCTTGTTTGGGTTGGCTTGTCTCGCAATCGCGGCGCACTTTGCAGGCTGGTTATTCACTGTTTTCTCGATGCCTGCCCTCATCGGGATGCTCCTCTGTGGCATCCTATTGCAAAACCTCGGCCTTGTCTCCATCGACGCGCGTTACGGGCCAGTTGTCTCTGACCTCAGGTACGTACCCGCTAACATATATTATACATACAGACATGTACAATTTTACATTCGACTTAGGTGCTTTCTGTTTATTTATTTATTATTTCATCGCCGTCGCGTACCTTTGAGCGTGCACCTGACCTTCTGTTTACTGAATGCGCGATCGTGACTTACTTACCAAAGACAACGACGAGTGATTTTCGAATTACACGTGTCCATCAGAGATATACGTATACGTATATATTAATACACCTAAAACGTTTTGGCTCATCGAAAGATCGCACGCGCGTGACGCTTTTCTGCGATTCTGTTGACTACTTTTTCTCCTACGACGTTTACAGCCTGCACACTGCGCGTGGGTGTGCACAAAAACAAAACAACAAAAACACTGATCGTCAAGTCCCATTAGCACGTGCATTGTTTTTTTTTTTTTTTTTTTTTCTTTTGGCCGGCGCTCTCTCTCTCTCTCTCTCGTTTTTATCGTATACTCATGTACGGTGTATATATACGTGGACAGGTGCGTACGCGAGTTTACGTGTATGAGGTACATCCTCTGTCCACCGTCAATTAAAATCGCATTAATAATAGAGAAAAAGGGAGGAAGAGAGGGCAAGGAGAGGCTCCGTTGGAAAACACAGTGCGTTTGCTTTCTTATTATCGGCTGGCTTTTCATAATTAACGAGCCCTGGGTGGAAAAACAGTATACGCATTTCCGCTGAAAAGTGTATATTTCTGGAGCCGCTCTATTATCTCGTCCCTCCTCGCGTATGGGTATAGGTGTGTATATACTGCTCCTATCAGCTATTCGGTTCTATTGTACGAGGTCTCAACCACGATTGGCTATAATTCTTGTATTTCGCTGTATACGCGTGTTACGATTCTACCCATACAATACCGATGGATTTCTGTTATCTGGAAATTCTCCCCTGTACCCCTTTTCCAGGTACATCAGGACCCGAGAATGGTAAATGTTTCATGACGACCATTGTCTATGGGGAAAAGTTTTGGTAGCGCAAGTGTATGCACGAAAAAAAAGCTTTCGTCGCGTCGCAGTGCTGTAGCTGTTGTTTTTTTTTTCCTCGTGTATTGGCATCACGAAAATCGTAATAGACCTCAATCAACGGCGAAACTTTCCAACCCCTCGACATTATCGGGGCGAGCAAAACCATTAGCCGGCACTTACGAAAAGCTCTGCCGGCAATTTTATTAAACGCGTTCTTACACGCCTACTTTCAACCTGACTTCTGTAATAATGTGTGTGTGTGTGTGTGTGTGTGTGTGTAAGTGAGCTCGACGAGTGCGGAGAGAGCATAAATGCCGGTGTTCAACGTATATCAGTAGTACACACACGACCGTACAATATGCACACTCGTCAAGCTCCCCTTGCACCTGTACACGAATGGGTTGTACTGTTTTAGCGAGAGGTTGCTTTTCTCTCGGAACAAAGTCCGTGCCAACTTCCTCTACTTGCGCTCATCTTTCCTCGACTGATCGGCTCCACTTTAACTTTTAATCTGTTGTGTGTTTGAGGCTAAAGAGAAACACACAGAAGTTACGCGCGCGCGTTTCTTTATGTAAAATTAAAGTGTGGATGATTGCTGTTGCGCCGAAGCGTTTACGAGCACGCGAGACGAATTTGCAGCAGAGTGATTTCTTTTTTTTTTTTTTTTTTTTTTTTTTTTTTTTTTTGAGTCTTCTCTTCTACATATAGTTGTTCTGTTGAGCTAGTTTGTTTTGCTTGGGGATTGGATTTGGTTGTAAAGACGTGAATTTTTCTAAGTGAGAGAATGAGGGAGTTTGCGGGATAATCTACGGGTTAGTCATCTATATTTGTTTTTAGATGAGGGAAAATGTATTTTCATGAGTTTTCTTTACATTTTTAGGTGTTTGTTCCATGTCGGCTGGTGTAGCACGGTCTCGCGATTATGTGTCTCGATGAATAGTTTCAAATTTGGTTCAAGAAACTTGTACTCTTTGCCAACACTTGATATAATTTGTAAAAAGGAGTTGTGTACGATAAAAAATGACGCTCATGTATCAGTCATGGATGAAAAATATTGTAAATTTCTTGGTGTTAAATAATGAAATAATATTTAAACT